AGATGTTTTTGTGACTTAATTAATAATTTTCGAGCTTTAAAAAAAATCATTCAGGAAGTTAAAAATCGTCTCATTTTTCTTCTTAAGCCCTCGCATCTTTCATCCAGGCTTAAAATTATGGCCTTTTTTATTTTGCCATAGTTCTTAGAAATATTTCTTTTAGTTAAGTCTGTGATGTAAATTGAGTACTGGGATGTCAAAATGAGTATATAAAATTTTAATATGTTGCTTGATTTTAAACAAGTAAATCTAAAGAAAAAATTCATACATGCATAATAATTGTAGAAAATAATTCATTTACAGGGATGCCACAGGTGATTAAAAATGTAAGGAATGGGTAATTAATAATAATAAAGAACCTATTTGAAGAGATTCTAATTATCAACTTTTTATGCCACATTTCTTTTAATTCACTAGAAAAGGTGATCGCAATGAAGTATTATTATTACATATATAATACTTATTATATATATAAGTCATGGTGGTAGTTACGATTAATTACATAAATTAAAAAAAACTACAACGAATTAGTTGAGGTTAACAAATTTTGCTCACTTCAATTGTTTTTGCATAACTAATTTTGCATTAGGAATCAACGGATCTTTAGGTTTGTAAGTATTAACTTATATTTAATAACTAAACTATATTCCAATGACTCAAAAAAGAAAACAACGTTCATTTAAAAGTGAAAGAAGTGTGCTATTTATATTTATTTAACAGGAGCAATAATTCTTTTTAATCATAGCGAATTTGATTAATATTTTATAAAATAGGTAGAGAAAAATCAATATTAAATGTCAGTTTAATCGAATTTCAAAATTTCCCATTTTACAACTGCTATATAAGCAAGATTTTGAATTAAATAAAACGCGATGAAAATTTATGAAATCATTAGCTTTTTCATAAATTGGTATTTAATAATAATGCATTGCAATTAATAAATATACGGTAGAAAATATTGTGAATAAATTAAAATATTTCACAAAAACAAGATAATTTAGTAAATAAATGTCCTAATAAGTGAAATGTTAACTCCAATTTTTATGACAGGAAGCTTATTCAAAGTATTGTCTTAGAAAAACATAGTAGTGGTCACGAATTTTATTCGAATTTCGATCATTTAATACATTTGTGACCACTGCTATGTGTCAAAAAAAATATATCTTTATGCGAAATTAGCTCGACGAGACAGTGAACGTTTAAATGGTATCAAAACGAATTACTAAGTATACTTGTGCTATGTAGGAGGGAATTGTGTCTACTGCTGTACTAATTATTTAGTCAAAAACGAAGTAGCTGGCAGCCCAGTGTAAACTAAAAATACATAATTGTGATGAATAAGAAAATAAAAGGAATTATTTTTTCCCAAATTTTTTTTCAGGAATAAACCGTCTCTAATAATTCGCCTGTGGACATTTCGCCCTGTATAGTGGATAGATTCGAATAATTAATGAACATTAGAGTACCTCCCCTTAACTACTTTATCGAGTTAATTCATCACCTCTTTCACCAGAAAGCCTTCACACGGTTTTTTAAAGGTAATCCAATCAGACCACTATGAAGATAAACATGTTTACAAAAGAAGCTTTTAATAGAAAATCTTTGCAGATAGGACTAGAAAATATCAAAACTGTGGTAACTGTCTTAATGTGGAACTGACACCATATCATGTTTTTACTGCCCTGCAGTCGCTGCAGGCCTTCACCTCTTAAACTACTTCACAGAAGAGGATTTGTATTCATTTAATGCCATAGAAATAACAAAAACTATTCAAGCACACCATGAAATATGATTCAATAGAGGATACGACACCAACCAACCTATAGAAAATCTAGTAAAAATAAGACAGTGGTTTGTCTTATTTACTTGTCAACCACTACAGATTCAATTCTCAAATTTATGATAAATTACTCTCAATTACATTTTAGAAAAAATGTGTGCACAACTGGTTCACTTTTTAAATAGTCTGCGCTGACTACTTATAAAAGTATCGTGTGGAGGTGTAGGTAATGCTACGTGCATAAATTAAAAATTTTAAAGAAAAAAAATCGGTTGAAATGATGACTCCGATTTTTTTTAATGAAATCCAATGTAAGTTGAAACAAGAAAGGCAGTATTTTCACATTTTTTGTTACTGGATTATAATTCCTAAATTTTTTCGTTTATGATTTATCTGATTTTGATAACATTTTTCATTTATTTCTCTCTTCGACTTTAATTTGCGACGTTTAACGTGAATAGGGAGATTTCACAAATTTACTTTACCTTCAGTACGATCCCGTACGAAAGATTTCAAGTAAATGGGCATGCGCCCGTGAAAAAATATCAAACGAAAATAAAAGTGAAAAATAGGAGATTTTGCGAGAATCCGTAGGTTAAAAACGCTAAGGTAGTGGAATATCATTTTAATTTTGATCACAAAATCAAAATAAGTTATTTTAATGGACTATTTCTTTAAAGTTGTGGCATACGATTCTAGATGCTTTACTCTGCGTAAAACTGTGGTTCTGTGAGCAGAAAAATTGGGTACATTACAGATTTTGAAGAATTCAGCAATAAAGAATGCAGCTTATTATTATAATTAATATTTAAAAAAATATTATTGAACGTTATTGATTATTTTATTTCTTTTAATTAAATTGTGTAGTTAAAAATATATAATTTTGAAATAGCGAAAATACATCTGGTTTCTTATGGAACTAGTGCAATTAAACAACCATAATGTTAAACGAAAACCAATAAAATTATTTTTTAATTAAATGAACCAATGGTTGTAAAACCACACGATTCATTTCGAAATTTCATCAATACATTCGCATTTCATGTGCATGTTTTAACAGAAAACAACATTTAACAGCTATAAGCAGCTTGCTTGTAGCTTTGTCTTCGTAGCGTGAGTGATTTGACTAAGCCAACATAACGTAAGATACGTAGCATCCTAAATATACGTGAGCATGCGCAGTTGTTTCAATATTACGTACAGAAGCTAACGTAAAAATCCGAAATCTCCCTAAGGGGTTCCGAGAGTAAGAAACTTTTTAACTATTAATAATTATATTTATATCCAATCTAAATAATCTGTAATTTTTTTTTAATATTTCGGTTTATAGGAAATTATTTATGTATTGCCAATGAATAAAAAGTATCAAAATTTTAAAAAAAAAAATAGTTTTTACCAGTAATAATTATATTATATATGTTGCCGGCAAAGTATGAAATCCGGCATTATATAGAAATTCTAGGCATTGTATATAATGCCTAAAACTAGCCGGCAAAGTATGAAATGATTTATATTTCACACATTGCCTAGGCATTCTGTAGAATGACAAATGCTATTTAGACAAAGTATGAAATAAACGTCCTGATGAGTTTATTATGTAAATGATGTGCATGTTACTGTGAATGACCGAAATCGGTGGATGCTGACTTTCACCGGTGAATGTTGACAATCACACAGTCGCTTTGGTGAATGTCCGAAATATTTATTACATCCGATTTGATATTAATTTATTCGTGGATGTAATTACATTTATGAGATATTTTAATTTTTACTGACGGTAGATTACATTTATTTGATATTTTAATACTTATTGATGATAGATTAGATTTAAAGCATCCATGTTTGGAGTATCGGGCAAATATATACCGGACACTTGACCTTAAACAAACATCAGTGTAGGATATACCGGGCAATGGCACCTGATCTTAAAAAAACAACAGTGTAGGGTATACCGAGCAAATGTGTACCGGGCAGTGGGACTTAACTAGACCTAGTATGACTAAACCTTTGGCAAATGTCTGAAATAAGTACTAGGTTTAGTTAAGTGCCACTGCCCGGTATATCCTACACTGAGGTTTTTTTAAGGTCAAGTGATATTGCCCGGTATATATTTGCCCGATACTCCAAACACTGATGTTTCTTCTAATCTACCGTCAGTAAAAATTAAAATATCTCATAAATGTAATTACATCCACGAATAAATTAATATCAAATCGGATGTAATAAATATTTCGGACATTCACCAAAGCGACTGTGTGATTGTCAACATTCACCGGTGAAAGTCAGCATCCACCGATTTCGGTCATTCACAGTAACATGCACATCATTTACATAATAAACTCATCAGGACGTTTATTTCATACTTTGTCTAAATAGCATTTGTCATTCTATAGAATGCCTAGGTATTATACAATGCCTAGATAAAGTATGTAATACTTCTCATATTTCATACTTTGTCTAAAAGCATCCGGCATTATATAGAATGCCTAGGCATTCTATATAATGCCGGCGTTTCATACTTTGCCGGTAACATATATACAATCAATAATCCATAATTTTCTTTAGTATTTCAGAAGCATATATGAAATTGTTCATGTATGGCAAATGGTTAAAAGAATCAAAATTCAAATAAATAAATATTTTTGAGTAACACTGCAGTTAAAATGTTTTCTTTTTTGAAAAAAATTGCGAATAGATTAAAAATTCCCATTTGTATTTCTCATTAAGCTTTTTAATTCAAAACAAAACAACTGATTCAAAATAAAAGAAATACTCTACTATTCTCGATATTTATAACAATTATAAGCCGTAACAATTATATAAGCCGTAACAATTATTTATAATAATTATAAGTCTCGATATTATAAGTCGTAATTCAAGTGATTTATATCATTTTTAGTAAATACATACACCCATAACAAATTCGTAATTTAAAAATATTTCCTTCTTCGCATTAAATATTTTGAAAATAATTAGCAGTCTTTTTTGTTTGTACAGCTGCTAATGAACTTTTATTTTATTAAATGACGAGGTTCCGCAGAAAGAAGCATGATCATTTAGGGTTCCGTAGCATGAAAAAAAAAAGAAGAAAAATAGGAAACCGCTGCTCTAGGAGAAAACTCTAGAACGCTCTATACAAATTGCATCACATTAGAAGTGCGCATTGCCAAGAAATTCTTCTTCTTACCATTCGTAATCGCGATTGGTGAAGCAAATGATATAAAAGCCATTCTGTCCCCACCCCAACTTAACATTCCTTGCTCGGAAACTGATCTCATCATTATCAACTTAAAGCTCGCTCGTATCATTGCTTCACGCATTTGAGATTAAAGATGAAGTTGTTGGCGTTTTTCTTGTTATGCTTGGCGGTGATGGTTAACTCCACTCCGATGGAACGAAAAAAGAGGTTAGTTTTAATAACACACCATACACTATTTTTTTTAATATAAAAATTAGTAATAATTTTATAAATTTAATTTGTATTTACATTTTGACATGCTAAAATTGTATTTCATCTTCTACATATTGTATTGTTCGTTGTTTCAACGAATGTTTGATTTTATTTAAATCATTCAAAAGAGACGTGTTTTCGGAATTTATTTCCAAAATTTATTTAGAATTCATTAAAAATGCAACGTAAAAAAAAAACTGTGACTTCACGACAAAATTTTTTTAGCCGTGATAAAAATATGTTCCTTACAAAGAATTAGCTATTCATTAATTTAAAGTAATAGAAATAAATGAGTTCGCGAACTTTCGTTTTACAATGTTTTTATTACTTTGTTATATGACATTATTTCTTATGTTACATCTTACTAAAATGCATATTGTTTGTAGTTCGGATATATATCTTTGCATCAAATTTTTTTCTTCGAATTTTGAATAATCATAGATTATCTAAATATACCTTTCGAGTTTAAGACAGATAAAAGGGATTTATCCCTCAGATTGCTATGGGCTCATATGTGCGCGGCCATGGGTGAAGACTATGGGCGAAAATACATAACTATTTCAAAACTAAACTATTGGTGAATAAATATTATATATTAAAAATACGAAATGTTTGGATCAGTTTCGTATTGGATATAGTAGTATCTGGATTGTGTACCCTTTTGATTTAGAGCAGTCAAAAGGGCGTAAATATCGAAACATATTTAACCCTTTAGACTTAGATCAGTCAAAAGAGTTAAGTATGTTTCGATAGCGTATAAAATTTCGGCAGTGTATTAAGGAAATATTGTAAACCATCACGTAATATAAAACTTAGATAGATTTAACGAAATATTGCCATAACTTTATTACAAATTTTTCAAAATTTTAGTTAAAAAGGAAACTGAAATTTTTGGTTACACGTCTATTTTCTTTTTCGCTCTTTCTAATAATTGGAATTTTAGAAATGTAATAGTTCAAAGAGGTTACTAAAATTGCAAAAAGTGGTGACTTATAAAATTCAAAATTTTCTTAAACGAATAAAAATGAGCTATGTTTTATAGCATATTATTTACAATTTGCTTTTGGAAGTAAAGAAGTTAGGTTACCGTCGCACTAAGTGCTATTGGCGACGCGCTGTGAAATATCCCTGAGGTTGTACTGAAGACAAGCCTCACAATTTTTATCCCCTGCTATTGTTCCCTCATAATTTTTATGCCTCACAATTTTTATCCCCTCATTCCTTTGGTCACTTCCTCAATTTTGATATAGATCTGAAGGGGAAGGAAATTTTCTACAGATCCCTGTACCCATGTTACTGCTCACCGACAGACCACAGGACTTTCAATTCGATGGATTTTCCAAGCACGTATTTCGCATGTACTCTGTGGGTCTTAACGAAGTCAAGGATCGAACCATAGCCCCTTCGGACCGGAGTCCGATTCTCTAATCACTGGGCTACCACCAGGGATCGTGGAATAAAGGGGGGGGGGTTAGTCCCCTCACATTATAAAAATAAAGGGATACAGCTCCTTTTAATATTAAACTTTTTCACTCACTTTTTTGTAATTAAATTTGCAATATAAAAATAGGAAATTTTTTGGTGACTAAAGAAATTCTAAAAAAAAATTGAAATCGAAATTTCTAAAAAATGTCTCCATTTCAAGCGACTTTTAAAATTTCCTTGGTGAAAACTGTTACCAAATCATTCCTTACTCCATTCTCCCGCAGAGGAAATAAACGTCCCTATATATTGCAGACCGATGGGGAAAATCTTGGTTTCAAATGCCCCATCTAACATAATGAAAAAGCCAACCAGGTGGCTGAGTGGTTAGCGTGCCTGAATGCGGAGCCGATGGTTGCGGATTCGAATTCCGCTCAGAGCATGTATGTTTCTTTCTCTCTCTCTGTGTTCTATGTCCTTTTCTCTGTGTGAATGTACCCGCCCTATAAACGGGTTTGTGGTTGTATGATGTGGGCGACGTTACTCCACCGCCGTGGCTTAGCCATAGATACTCACTGGGTAACGATAAGAGAGTAGTAATTCTGTCATTTCTAATAGACCCAAGTGGTACCGAAACTCATGTCACGCCATTAGACTTTTTGAATTATAATGATAATTATAAATGAGTTTTATCACCACTACATATAAATAATTACACCGAATATATAAAAGCATACTAATTTATACGATAGCGGATTTTAACCCTATTGAAAATATAAATATATTTTGGAGTAAGATTGTTTTTCGGTGATTGTTTTACTACCACTTGAGAAATCCATTCTCAGAAAAAGTAAAAGTTGGTAGGTATGTATTTATATATAGAGAGGGGAGGGAGAGATACTTTCGCGGTCACTGCCTAACCACCTCCCTATAAGTAAAGAATGTCTTTGCTTCAAATATGAAATGAAAGTAATAGTGGTTAGCAATAGTTATAATTAAATAATTAAAGAGAAAATAAATAAATAAAAGCGAATTGAATTTCTACCACTTTTTACATTTATAGTCGCCTGCGACATCCTTGAGTTTAAAATGCTAATTAATGAATGCAAACGTTCATTAAGCTGCGAATCTGACGCAGCGTTCTTTCTATGAATAAACATGCGCTTTTCGACGCATTTCGAATTTTAACTATTAAAAATACTCTAAAGGCAATGGCTAAGTATAATTTTAATTAATAGAGTTATTTTAACTTCTTACAGTTATTTGTCATCTATACCATACCTTACAACTTTTCAGTTTTGGGCAAAATACTTTTCCCAGTTGTAATGAACTAAAGCTGAAATTTTGACACAAATAGGACTTTTTTAAAAAAAAAAAAAAAAAAAACGTTCTTCAGAGCTTTTTAATACGAGCTTTTGTCTATATGATCCTTTATATAACTGTTTAAATAGTTTATATGTACTGGCGACCAAAATTCTTTCAAATCTAATTTCTTANAGATTGCTATGGGCTCATATGTGCGCGGCCATGGGTGAAGACTATGGGCGAAAATACATAACTATTTCAAAACTAAACTATTGGTGAATAAATATTATATATTAAAAATACGAAATGTTTGGATCAGTTTCGTATTGGATATAGTAGTATCTGGATTGTGTACCCTTTTGATTTAGAGCAGTCAAAAGGGCGTAAATATCGAAACATATTTAACCCTTTAGACTTAGATCAGTCAAAAGAGTTAAGTATGTTTCGATAGCGTATAAAATTTCGGCAGTGTATTAAGGAAATATTGTAAACCATCACGTAATATAAAACTTAGATAGATTTAACGAAATATTGCCATAACTTTATTACAAATTTTTCAAAATTCTAGTTAAGAAAGAAACTGAAATTTTTGGTTACACGTCTATTTTCTTTTTCTTTCTTTCTAATAATTGGAATTTTAGAAATGTAATAACTCAAAGAGGCGACTAAAATTGCAAAAAGTGGCGACTTATAAAATTCAAAATTTTCTTAAACGAATAAAAATTAGCTACGTTTTATAGCCTACTTTTTACAATTTGCTTTTGGAAGTAAAGAAGTTAGGTTACCGTCGCACTAGATCTGCACTAAGTGCTATTGGCGACGTTTTGTGAAATATCCGTGAGGTTGATCTGAAGACATGCCTCACAATTTTTATTCCCTGTAGAGGAGATCTCATTCTCCTCAATTTTGATATAGATCTGAAGGGGAAGGAAATTTTCTACAGATCCCTGTACCCATGTTACTGCTCACCGATCGACCACAGGACTTTCGATTCGATAGATTTTCCAAGCACGCATTTCGCATGTACTTGGTGGGTCTTAACGAAGTCAAGGATCGAACCATAGCCCCTTCGGACCGGAGTTCGATTCTTTAATCACTGGGCTACCACCAGGGATAGTGGAATCGGGGGGGGGGAGCAAAGGGGGCTTAGCCCCCTCACATTTTAAAAATAAAGGGATATAGCTCCTTTTAAGATTAAATTTTTTCACTCTCTTTTTGTGCAATTAAATTTACAATATAAATAGAAAAATTTTTGGCACCCAACGAAATTCTAAAAAAAATTTTTAATCGAAAGTTTCTAAAAAATGTCTCCATTTCAAACGAGTTTTAACATTTCCTTGGTGAAATCTGTTACCAAATCATTCCTACTCATCATCTTCCCACAGAGGAAATAAACGTCTCTATATATTGCCGACCGATGGGAAAAATCTTGGTTTCAAATGTCCCATCTAACACAAGGAAAAAGCTGACCAGGTGGCCGAGTGGTTAGCGTGCCTGACTGCGGAGCCGATGGTTGCGGGTTCGAATTCCGCTCAGAGCATGGACGTTTCTTCCTCTCTCTCTCTCTCTGTGTTCCATGTCCTTTTCTCTCTGTGAATGTAACCCACCCTATAAACGGGTTTGTGGTTGTATGACGTGGGCGACGCTACTCCACCGCCGTGGCTTACCATAGGTGCTCACTGGGTAACGAGAAGAGAGTAGCAATTCTGAGACCAATGGGAAATAGATTCAAGTGTCCGCTATTAACCAAAAAAAAAAAAAAAAACATAATGAAAAATTTGAAAAAAATACCCTTAAATGAGACATAAATAATTTACTGGTACATAATTTCTTTCATTAATTTTATTTTAATTTTAAAACAGTTCGAAATTGCTAGTTTGTATTTTTGATTGCCATTTTGTAATGTTTAGATAATTCTGATAAATACTAAATAATAATTCGGTTAATACTATATATATATATATATATATATAGGGAGGGGGAAGAGATACTTCCACGGTCACTGGCTACAACCTCCCTATAAGTAAAGAATGTCTTTGCTTCAAATCTGAATAATATGAAATGAAAGTCATAGTGGTAGTTTCAATTAAATAATTAAAGAGAAAATAAAGAAATGAAAGAGGATTGAATTTCTACCACTTTTTACATTTATAGTCGCCTGCAGCATCCCTGAGTTTAAAATGCTAATTAATGAATGCAAACGTTAATTAAGCTGCTAATCTGACGCA